CATGGAAAAGTTCTAAGAGATAACATCTCTGTTACAACAAAGCTATTTTTGTACTTCTTATAATCACACTGAAGCCTGTGTTTCCATCAGAGAATTCTTTTGTAGAATCTGGGGTTCAGCTCCAGGTAACAACGCAAATCGTTGCTTCCTCTAAGGACTGAAAGTGAGTTTCCTCCTAATGTTCTTTCAGCTTTGGGAAAGAAAACAATCTGATGGAGCCAGTTGTAAAGCTGCATTAATGTTTATCGGACTTTTAATCTTTTCAAATTGTAATGTTTACTCTGAATTCAACAATGTTCACCGAGTGTGACACTCGAAAGTGTCTTCATGGACTTTTTTGGCCGGCTAAAACAATGAGGAAGTGCGTTGCCAAATTATAGATTTTATTTTTTTATACATTTTCAGATATAAGACTCTTTTGTTTGGACATTTTTGTGACATCTTGCCACGTACTGGTCGTTCAAATATGCCCATGAATCCATGTAGACATGTCTCCCACTGAATTTAGAACAGGGCCACCAGGGAAAACCTCAACTCCTTCTGATTGGCTGAGCATGTACAAGCATATACCCAGTGTACAGAGAAGTAATTGAGAGCTACAAATGATCAAGCATGTAAAGCTTTGATATGCAAATACTTTTTTTTTTTTTCCACTAACGGCCTGTGCTTCGAATAGTAAATGTGCTGCTCAGCACAATTAAATATTGCAGAATCGCTTCTATTCAGACAACAAAACCACCACTCACACTAAACTGTGTTCCTTTTCTTGGATTCAGCCGATTTTGCTTTCGCATGAATAATGTAGTGGGTATTTTTAAGGAGAGATATGGCATCCTCTGTTACCCTGTCATCTGAACATCTCTCCCCGTCTCTCACACTCACTCCCCACTTGACAGAGACCGTGCAGTAAAATGATGGAGCATCAGCATTCTCTAGAGGCCAATGGAGGTCATAACAAATTCTTTTTAGGACGGCATTCATCTTTTTTGTCTTTCTGTCTTCCCCCACCACCGCAACCCACTCTCTGTCTCCCTCCATTCAGCACTTGACAGAATCTTTTTTTTTTTTTTCGTAAAAACCAGCCTTTTGCAGACTGTACTATTTTGAGCAAGGTGCAATCTTTAAAAAAAATGACTGGTATAATGTCAGGGCTGGAAGCAGAAATGATAGCTGGTGTTGAGAATTATAGGAAAGTCAAAAATACAGGGACGCTGTCCATTTTTTTCCCATAACAGTTGTAACAATATTCACTGCCTATCTAGTCTGCATCATTTCTCTCTAATACTTACTACAGTGTGTACTATGAACTTGGGAGTATTCTCCACACTCTTTTTTTTTTCAAAGTGCAAAGATAAAAAGATGTTCAAATGTGGGTGTGTCAACCTGTCAAACAAACAAGCCATAAGAAATCAGCACGTCTGGAGCTGTTCAGTCAATTCCTTCCCTCCTGTGGAATGTATTGGATTGCATGACATGACGATACATCACTAAGAATATTTCCTACAGGGATTGGCTCTTATGTAAATGTTGGTTTTGACTTTGTGCAGGAGCAAAACATGTGATGCATTCAAATGAGCTACGGTACTTTGGGGGTGGGAGGGGCAGGAGATCAGATGACATCTTTTTCTACATCAATGTAGAAGTGTGAGAGGAGAGGGTGGAGAGTGGAGGGCAGGGGCTATCACAGGGTTTGCTCAAGGGCAAAAAATTCCACAATTTTCACTTACTCCTCTTTACACAAAAGGAACGCTCTCTTTTCCTTTTCTCCCTTGAGAAGAAACACAGCCCCAGATAGACGTGCTGTGGTCTGTGAGGCATTTTTAAACTGTTAAAACTCTCTAGAGCAAGTGATGCATTTGACTTTGGAGACCACACTACACAAGAGAAGTACCGTACATGTGTACAGAGTACCAAAGGAGGATTTCCTGCCGTCACTCTTGGCACCTGTTGATCTTGATACTCCACCCACTATTGTCTGGACAAAGCATTTGTAACAGAAACCCAAAAAAGTATGACATTGATTCTTACATTTTTACCTCACTCTACTTTTAAGTTATATTTGTAAAATAAACATTGCCGTCTTTGCATTATTTAAATTCCAGTACTTCTACCAATTGGTCAATATCTACTTGTAAATTTGAACTTTTTTTTCACATGTGCGCACATGCTAATTGTATCTAATTGTGGTTCACAACCTATGCAAATATCAACAGCTCCATCAAACATCCTTTACCTGAGCTCTTATTTACACTGCCTTTACTGTCACCTGTGCCTCGAGTTTCATTCACATGCAAGTTTGGAATTATTGTTTTCACGTTTCGTGTCGCTTCCTCCCCCCGGCATTGAATTTCCCCTGAGGCAGGTTTGCAATTTCAAAACAAAACCAGAGATAGTGTATGTAGTGAGTGATTCTCTTCTCGTAAAGCTCCACCTGCTGCCTCATCTAGTCCACTCCTCACAGCCAACCGTCTCGTGTTATCCAGGTGACAGCCGGTGGCTCAGCAACGACACCACTCACCTGCCTGTCCTCTGTTTCTAGATTCTCTGTCTTGAAGGTAAGCTGCGTCTCTGTCATGTGTGTTAATGTTAATGTGTTAATGTGTTAATGTGTTTCCAACTTTATTATTGAGTTTCTGAATTTCAGTTTCACTCCATATTTAAATTAGTTGATTTTTTTATTAAGGAAAACCAATAGAAAAGAAATTGAAAGGAAAACTGAATTTTAAATATTTGCTGCAATTTTACTGTTTGTCAGAACAGATGACCAGCCTTGGACGTTTAAAGTGTAACAATCCTTAAGATAGTTGAAAGATGTGACATGTTTTAAAAAATGAATTGTTTCTTTAATTCTCTACCGGTGGAAGTGTCTGACCTTGAATTTTTAAAATGTCAGTTTAATTTTACAAGAGCAAGAGTAAAAATATAGTCCAGGGAAGGAAAGGTAGACTGGGAACAGGGAGAGACGTATGAAGACACCGGGGGACTCCCACTCCACCTCGGCACTGACTCATACGGGCTGGAAGTATTTGTAACTTGTTAAACCTGCAGAACAAGTCAGATCTATCTGTGAGAGGAGGAGTTTGTCGACACAAAGACTAAGATAAACCTGAAAGCATGGCAACAGATTGTGGTTTGCATACTAGGGGGAGGGAACACGGGGTCCATTACTGCCTCACAAACAGAGGATTCAAGGTTTGAATCCCTGTTCAATACAGTAGAGCCTTGACGTGAGCCTGTATTTACTCCACGTGTCTGGTATAATCAAGACAAAAAAGAAAAAGAGAACTAAGACCTAGCAGCTTTTCTTTCTCACTGTGTCTTTTTAGTCTTTAGAAACTGAGATTACTGAACGTGCTAATAAATGTGCTTTCCTTTGTCAACTGTGTGGGTGTATTGTATTCCCTTTTGGAATGACTGTCAGCTGTGAAACAAAATCTGTGAACAGGCTTCCTCCGAGTCGTTTGATTGTTAGATTTCTATGAAACTGAGCAAATATTTTAGGAAAAGAGAACAAGCTTACGATTTCATGTGCACGACAAGGGGACATGAATATTCTTGTAATGTACTTTTTACAGCTCTGACTTTTCCAAAACACTGGATGAAATTAAATTAGATCATTCTCAGATTGGAGCTCTTTTCAAGTCTTTCATCACTGACGGAATCCCACAAGTGTCGCTCTGTTGTTTTCTTATTAATGGCCTTTTCTGCCGCAGTTTCTTACACTCAATCGTGCCGAGGAATATTGATGGACTTCTAATGTTTGTTTAATGGTCATTTATGAATGCATTTTTTAGTATGGGTAAAGGCTATTTCACCTGAAGCCTGGTGTCATCTCCACCTCACCATCGTTGCTTTACACAGTAAGACTTTTTTTTTAAAGTTAATAAATTAAGGACCAAATGCCTTTTTTTTAATTAACAACAGAATTGATGAGGCACATCTTTGAAATCTTAATCACTCGGTGTCTGTTTCAATGACTCCATCTTTCCTTGAAAGTCCTTAATGTACAAATACATTACCAACAAAATGAATAAAACCTTTCAGAAATACAGAAACTGGTAATTAATTTGAAGATTTATTCCACAGTTAAAAGTGTATCCAGAAATTAAGTCCTGCAGCACACTGTAACAAATGTACGATGGAGGCTAAAAGATGTCCTTCAAGTGACATTCTCTAAATTTAACAGGCTAACTGTTCCCGGGCTATAAAATCAGACTGCACTAAAGAGTTTTTGCAAGCAAAGATGGATCACTGCTCATTTCTTACCACCTGCAGTTGATAATATTGTGCAAAGACTCAAGTCCTCCAAGTGTTGTAGTCTCTGCAGCTGCTGTGAACACAGACACGGGAGATCAAAGATACTCAAGGAGAACATTGTTATTTAATCAACACTGGAATAAATAGATTTTAGGTCAAACCCTGACCTTACATTTTGGAGTGTGTTGCAGATAACTATGGATCGGTTCTGAAAGTTTGTAAACTACGCATTCTATTTTATTTTATTTGAGGAAGTTTTTGGAAAGAAAACTGACACAATGACAATTATATAAAACATATAATGATAATAATAATAATAATATAATAAATAAAATAATATGACCCATAATCAAAGCAAAGACATATATGAAATAAATTTAAAAAAAATCTCCATGTGAAATGCACATGTAACCTTTGTATGTTTTGGAATTGTGATTTTTTTTTTTTGACAGGTGTCAAAGACCATTCACAATGGGAAGAAAATCCCATCTAAACAGACAATAATATTTTTTTCCAGCCCAGTACTTGAGTCACAGTGCTTTGAGTCCTCTGACATAGACAACACGTTTTTTGTCAACACTCTTGACGTCTCCCACAGCATTTAAGACCTCAAGTGTGCAGTGGAGATGTGAACCGAGACAACGGGCGTTAATGCGGCGCTTAGTTTCTGGTTTCTCTGTTGAGAAAGCGTGATACATTTCATCTGTCACAGCTCAGAGTAAGACAAACACTCCTCAGAAAGAATGATGACTCCCGCTGCGGTTGTCAGGAGTGGTAAAATAGTAAACTGGAGAAAATATGGCAAAAAATTGTGCTTCCATGTCCCTACCTTGAGACAAAAATACACTGTCAACAAAAGAACAGTGAGGTTTTCTATACTGATGTGGTTTTTACTCAAAATTTGTGTTTTTAAATGTACATAGTCCAGCTGTCAGGGTGTAGAAATCAGTTTACTCCAATTTATTTATAAAGCGCATTTAAAATAACAGTTTTAAAAGAAAGACAACAAGACACAGAAGATCTATATAACTTCAAGTGCTCCAGAATTCAAATAAGCCAGAAGAAACAAGAGACAAATGAAAAGGGTTTTAAATGGGTTTAAAGGGTTTAAAACAATATGTCAGTTTTGACAGGAATTTTTCTTTCATTTTGTCCTTCTTTGTGGCAGATCTATTCTAAAGTATCCAACGTCAACATCAGTGAAGATCACACCGTTACGTCCTCCAGATAACGTCGTACTCTGAATACCATTTCACAACTGAAACAGTCATTATCCCTTTAGGGAGTAGAGCAGACATGTGAGGAATATGGAGACGGCCGTTGCTGCTTGATGATCAGCTGTTCAAATAGCTGACTGATACTGCCGAGAGTATTTGTTTGTCATTTCAGTGGAGGGAGGCACAGTGAAAATGACTCACTCATTGTTGTGTAATGAGTCTATTCTGAAATGGCATCTCTGTGTAAACGCCAAGCAGCAAGGTCTGGGAATGTTTGTGAGAGAGAGAGTGTGTGAGAGAGAGGCAATGTATCTTCGGGGATAAACAACATTTTAATAATTTCTTTCTGATTATTTATTAAACCTCTCAGAAAGGAGGAATAGCACAAGGCAGTGTTGCACCCAGCAAAGTGAGACCGATATGAATTTGTTTACAACTGTGCAAATTGCCTATATGCCGATGAAAGGCAACTGGCAGGGGTGTAGTTAGACTCCACTCTCAAAAGGGCTATGAATTATAGAGCTCAAGTTAAAATGATTACCCTCTCCTCTGGAAACCATAGACAGAAATATAAACAACCATGTATTGACCCAAGCCAAGAAAGTCACTATCATACAAAAGTCCCAATTTGTTGTTTTCTTGTTTAATTCTTTCATTGTCAAAGGTCAATCTTCAAAAACTCGTCTGTCTAACCCTACCTGCACTGAAGGACTCCATCTCCCTCAGCCACCCTTGTCCCCGCCTCCACCTCTACAGTAGTAGCCATGAACTGGTCTGCTCTAGAGGCCCTCCTCAGTGGTGTCAACAAATACTCCACTGTCTTTGGACGGGTCTGGCTGTCCATGGTCTTTGTCTTCAGGGTGATGGTGTTCGTGGTGGCGGCCCAGAGGGTGTGGGGTGATGAGAGCAAGGACTTCGTCTGCAACACGGCTCAGCCAGGCTGCAACAACGTGTGCTACGACAGCATCTTCCCCATCTCCCACATTCGCCTGTGGGCCCTGCAGCTCATCTTCGTCACCTGCCCATCGCTGATGGTTGTTGGACACGTCAAGTATCGGGAGAAGAAGGACATGCAGTACACTGCCTCACACAAGGGCAGCCATCTCTATGCCAATCCTGGGAAGAAGCGTGGGGGGCTGTGGTGGACATATTTGGTAGGTAAAGATTGTCAGAGTGACTGAATGTATTACATAGTTTAAAAAACTAAACCAGTGTGGCTCTGTTGTGTTAAACACATGTTTCATCTTTGTTGTGTCAGTTCTTTCTACGTTTGTATATATAGTTTAAAATAAGGAATATTAGTTTATAAAAAAAATCTTACTCCTGTTGTAATTACCACCATATTTAATACCTCTAAAATACTTTTATATCTTAACTCAGTTGAAAACAAGTCTCCTCTTTAACTTCTATTGCAGGTGAGTCTAATTTTCAAGGCAGGCTTTGATGCTGGCTTCCTCTACATTTTGTACTACATCTATGACGGTTATGACATGCCCCGCCTGTCCAAGTGTGCCCTCGAACCGTGCCCCAACGTCGTGGACTGCTTCATATCCCGTCCCACCGAAAAGAAAATATTCACCCTCTTCATGGTGGTCTCGTCTGCCATCTGCATCTTCATGTGCATCTGCGAGATGATTTATCTCATCTTCAAAAGGATTCAAAAACTTATGAGACGGAAGGCTGAGGCAGACAGGAAGATGTTCGCAGAGACGCATGAGATGGCTCCACTGGCAGCGCCCAGGTCCTCAGCCAGAGTGGATCCCACAGCATCTATCCAGAACCTTAGTAATGTCAGAGCTGAAGAAATACCTGTGAAAACATAATCTGAGCTCCCTGCAGCTGTGGCAGCTTAACAAAAACGGATTAATGACATGAAAAACCACTTAAAGTAAATACACTGTACACTTCAAATATAGACGATAGATATGAGGCCTGTACAGTCATACTGATGTCCTTAAAGAACTATATCACTTCAAGTGCTGCAGAATTCAAAAAGACCAGATAAAAAATGGTTTGATGGATGGATGCATGGATGAATGGATGGATGCATGGATGAATGGATGGATGGATGGATGAATGGATGGATGGATTTATGGACACATTTTTTCAACGACACATATAACTGTGTCCACAATCTATCCAATGTAAATATCTTGTTGAATGTAGAGTACACTTTATGCACTTATTCTCTTTCTAAAGAAATATAATCCAATAAGGACTACTTTTGTTAGAGAACATCTAAACGGCAGTGTTTATTACTGTTGTGACTTATAAAGTTACTTGTCCGTAAATAATTTGTGTTTGTGTGTAACTTTATTAAAAATACAGTATACCTTTACACAATTACAAAGCTGCAAGTTGGTGTTAGACTTTCTAAAAGTTTTTTTTTTTTTATGATGCAATTTTATAGGAACTTTAATATATTTCAACCTCATTTCTATTTGTCCAACATCATCTAAATTGATTGTGAATACCATAATGATACTTTAGGGAATTGCAAGTGGAATTGAGCCGGCCATCACACAGTGATTGTCACTCTGTGATGTTATTCTGAATATTGCACAAGACAGTGTTAATATGAGGTTTTGACAACCCAAGCATAAAATGCCTATTTGTATAACACCTTTGCAATCTGGTAGAATTAGTGCTCAAAAGTCAGAAAGCTCAAGAGCCACGTGTGGTTCAGGAGCCACAGGTTGCAGACCTCTGTACAAGTTAAGCCAGTATTTTCCCAGAATGATACTTGTTTTATCTTGTTTAGCATTTATCACTGTCTGAACTTGTATAGAGTGTATAGCCGGGTTAATTCCTGGATAAGTTTATGAGATATAAAAAAAATCAAAATATTTGTTAAATAAAACTTCAAGCAAATAGATTCTAGTACTATTCATTAAGAAAAAAAATAGCTTTCCCCTATGGTTCTGACGCAAACTTTACAATTTGTGGCATGATATTAAATAAATTGTTTAAATCCAAAAATTGACCTTTAATTATTAATTAAAAGATGCACAAATTTAATTAAATTTAAAATAAATTTGCGTGTGGTCCTGGATCAACAGTCTGTATATTTTTGTATTGGGTATCTGCAGCGCAACGTCATGGATAATACTCGTTATGACCTCATCATTACGTTCGTGCTGTAGCCCAATCAGGAACTAGAAACACGGAAGCGACTTTGACAGATCCGGAAACGCACCAATAGTCGTACAGAGCTGCCCTGCCTATATCCGCCTGTGAAGTGTTCATTGTTGGAGGAAGTGATTTCTGCCCAACATGAGTTTTCACTACGGACAGGTAATGGACAAAACTATCTCATTTTTTTTAATATAAGGCATATTAATCCCACTCTAATTTTTAACCGTAACATGAATTCGATCAACCATCGCTGGCGTTCACAATTCGTTTGTTTCTTGCGGCTAACGGCCGTGAGTGCAGTGTTGCTGAACTGGTAATCTCTGTTAATGTCTGATTTTCCGTGTTATTAGTAATCGAAACGTTATAAACGATTTCCTATTCGCTGTGAAGCCCGGTTGCACTTGTTTGTGTAACATCTGTCAGTCCGGTACTACTACAGACACAAGGTAGAAGTAAGTTTCTGTCATCATCAAAAACAACACAATTTAAGTATATATATTGCATTATAGTCGCTTTACTTTTTTTTAAATTGATGATAATTGATGTCTTTAGAAAAAAAACTACTGTCATTGGCGTAAATAATAATAAACTAACCATATATATATATATATATATATATATATCATCTTCAACCTGGTTATATTTTAACTCTGCACTTTTTGCTCTTAGTGTTATTAACTATTGTCTGTCACTCATTGTAGGGCTATCCAAGAGGGGGTCACCCACAACCGGGGCACTCGTACGGAGGCGGCCCTGGTGCCTATGGCCCTCCCCAGTCAGCTCCATATGGAGGTGCAGCAGGTACTTACGGTGGTTATGGAGCTCCAGCTCATGGTGCGCAATATGGGCATGCACCAGGGGGTCCTCCAGCTGGACCCTATGGTGGTTATGGTGGGCAGCCACATGGATCACCTTATGGGCACCATGCTCCTGCAGGTAACCATAGTTTCAAATGGAGTCTGTAAGGACTGTAACCTTCATAGTCATGTTGATGGTAAAAAAAAACAGACAGTGCTGGATGTGAGAGAGCTACAGGTTGCCCCTGCTTCTCCTTCTTGTTACTTTTTTTTCTTTCTCGGTTTTGTCATCTCTCACTCCCTGTTCAGTTAATGGATAGAAAATGACTTGCGTTCCCATACAGTCTTGTGGAGACAGAGTTCAGTTTGTGCCCCTCAGCAGGATTACACAGCTGGAGTGATCATTGCTGAAATACTCGGTGAGGGCTAAACTGAGCAAAAGACAGATGGATGAGGCGCGTGTTTGTGTGTGTGATTACACCATTTCCTGTAGCAGGTAAGTGGGAGTCAGCACCTGATAGCCGATGCAGCCATCATTTCCAGCAGGCACAGAATCCATCAGGATGTGGCCTGAAGTGTCACCTGTTCTCCTCTAACCATTCATTTCTCTGACAACCAGCCCTCAATGAGTCTGCCCCTCGCATCACACCGTAATTTCTTACACTGTTTTTTTTTTTCTTTTTTTTTCGGTGTATTCATGTAATGGACTCCTGTCCTGACACTACCCGTTTCACTGAGAGGAATTATTTTATTCCTCCATTAATTCTGTGCTAGGATAGTTTATCCAGGGACTTGTAAGTTTCCTCTGAGTGGGTTGTGCTGTATTGTATGAAAGAAACTTTACAAGCACAATTTGTAAATGAATAACAATAATGAAAACTAGGGTCAAACTGTCATTGTTATCATTTAAACCAGAATATGTTATGGTAACTTTCATTTGTTTTTCTCCTTTTAGATTCTTTTGGAATGCCAGTCATATTGAGCACATCTTTTGAAAAGTCTTTATGTACTGTAGAATGCAAGAGATAAAAAAATGTATTTCATCTGCACCTTTTTGAATGTCAGAAAGTAGAAATCCTTGTCTTCATCCTCAGTAAATGAGTGACTTTCTGCTTTTTTAACACCACCTCTTTTGCTTTACTGCAAAAGAGCGGTAAAGCAGATTCAGTTAAAAACAGTAGTAGAAGCAAGGAATGCTTTTGTTATGCATTGTATTACCATCACGTTTTTTGCATTTTCCATCAGGCAATGTTCCTCCTGGTGTTAATCCTGAGGCGTATCAGTGGTTCCACACGGTTGACACAGACCGCAGCGGTTTCATCAGCCTCAAGGAGCTGAAACAGGCTCTAGTGAACTCCAACTGGTCTGCCTTCAATGACGAGACCTGCCTCATGATGATCAGTAAGTGAAGCTGCAGCTGCTTAAAGAATTTTCTCTAGAGTTTGACGCAAGTTATTGTTAAATAAGTGATTAGGAAACTTTGGTACAGCTGTTCCAGATACTGAAGGTTAAATAAGTACAGTGTGTCTCAAATACATCTGGATCTTAACAGTAATATTAAAAAAAAATCAAATACATTTTTGAACATTTCAAAATGCAGAATAAAGCTTTATTACCTGGTTGTCTTATTTTAATAAACAACATAACTGAAACATATGATCCTAAGAAACATATTTTGTCTTTCACTTCCTAACTTTTGCAGGAATGGTACAGTACAACTAATAGACACTAAAGCTGTTTTTCTCATTGTTCCTGCAACAGCGACAATAAAAAATGATTTTATTCTACATTATATATATATATTATATAATACTTACCACATACCACAGACGCAGTGGACACTCTCAGTGTTATGCTTGTGATGTCACAGGGAATGACTCATGGGAAAAATGAGCCATAGAGCAGAGCAACCTCTGGCAGTCAGAGTGGTATGAATCACCACTTCTCTAATGATTTTACCGTGGTCAAAAAATGTGAGTACAAATGCTAATTGAAGTTGTAACTAGGAAAACTGTTGGGCAGGACTCATGTCCATTGCTCAAAGGAGTGAATTTGACATGTCACAGTTCAGGTCCAAAAGTACCTGATGAGTCATATTTGTTCTGCAAGTGTCCCCACATTCCTAATGCATTTGTAATGCACTGACTAATGTGTACTATTACCACAATGAGAAATGTGTGACTTTGGAAGTTTTTCTTTAAAGATGACACATTTCATAATGACATGATTTAAGTATGTCAACTGTTTAGGGAAAAAGAATGACGTCCAAAGAACAGTGGCTTAAAAATGCTGTGCCTTGTGTTTGACATTAGACATGTTTGACAAGACCCGTTCAGGTCGAATGGACATGTTTGGTTTCTCTGCATTGTGGGACTTCATGCAGCGGTGGAGGGCGTTGTTTCAGCAGTATGACAGGGACCGTTCTGGGACAATCACTGGCACAGAGCTCCACCAAGGTATGATAATGTTGCTGCAAAAAAAAGAACAAAAATAAACAAAACACTGAAGCAAAGAAACATCATCAGGAAACAAAAAAAAAACTTCTATTGTTTCCTTGTTTCCTTCTCATGCACTTTCCTTTCACCAGCCCTTGCTCAGATGGGCTACAACCTGAGTCCCCAGTTTTCAGAAACACTGGTTCAGCGGCTCAGCGTGCGAGGCATGCGGCCCGGGATACAGCTGGACCGATTCATCCAGGTGTGCACACAACTGCAGAGCATGACCCAGGCCTTCAGGGAGAAAGACACAAACATGACGGGCAACATCCGCATCAGCTACGAGGAATTCCTCTGCGGTGCCATCGCCAGGCTCATGTGAATCCTAATGACCTGTGGCACTGTGTGTATACAGCATCATTCCATGTTTACATTCGTATGTTTTCACATAAGTGCCCGCACGTGCTGTTGAGTACGTAGTACGACGGCCAGTGCACATTGTTCCATAGCATGTTGCAGTAAATAGTCAAGGCTTACAAGGCTGTAATTAAAGAGACTTACTGCATAGCTTAAATATAACCAGGGATGGAAATGATTTTGGGGATCCTTCACATGGATCAACATCACCACACATGCCTCAGTAATATATTCAGTAAAACTAACATTAGTATTAGTTTAACGGTATGAACCACATACCTGTATGGACTCAGCATATTTTTTTAGGACAGAGTGACTCATTGCATTGGTGTGGGTCATGGAATAACTGTCACATATATCTTTGCACCTGCTGTCTGTACAGTGACTATGCTAAGCTTCTTTTTTTTTTTCCTTTGGATCCTACAGTTTTAAAAATGACCTGTGCCATTGAAATAGTTTATAATAATAATACTATTGCTTACGATTCTAACATTTGTCATATGTGTGAGAGAAATATATCACCTTAGGGAACACTGTTGGTTTTACTGTTTTTTAGTTTGTTTTTTAACCAAATGTAAAAACTATCACACAGATCATTTGATTTAAAACCACGATAATTAATCTCCAAGTGTTTTAGTGTTTTAGACATTGCTGCCAAAAAGCAATTGTATAAGCATGTTTACTTGCAGACCCTATTCCAATAATGCTTTTATTTTCCCATAGTTTAGTGTTCTACATTATGAAAGTGAATTACATTCTCCCATAGCTTTGTATGAGCTCTGAGCACATTCCCGTTCTGTTTACTTTTTGCAAAAGAAAAAAAATTACATTGAGTACAGAAACTAGTTTCCAACAGAGTATCTGCTGTGCCTTGATTCAATAACAGTTCATTGTGGGGCCAGTACTTCAATATTACACTCCCTTTCGTTGTATCAAACATGATGAAAATGCTGAATGTGCCGAAATGCTTCTTGATGCCAAAACAAAATAAATCATGATGAGTATCACAGATGAATATCATCCTTTTCTTCTTCCTATTTTCTCTAAGGGTACTGTATAAGGTATTAAAGTCATTGTGAGTGTTGTATGATCTGTATTTCAGAGATGATATCAACTGTATTTTTTTTTTTTTTTGGTTTTAAAACAGATAACTGTTACAATGTCTTGCGTAGATAAAAACAAATTTCAGTTCAGCAGAAGTGTTTGGACCTGCCTTTAAACAGTAGTCAATGGCCAGTTGAACTTCATCCCATAACCTTTGACATGTGAAAGCTAAAGAATCTGTTTAACTTGTCTTCATCTGTGGGGCAAACAGGCTGCACAATAGATAAAAAAAAAAGCATCTGTCTTCCCCGTCCACATCTGGCGTTTCTTTCCCACCATCTGTTACTCTGCTTGATCACAGTCTGTGTCAAGAGTCCTCCTGCTTCTCCTCGTCTCATTCCAAATCACAGGCAATCCATCAAATTCTCTTGTGCATCCTCTTTGGTCATACCACACATCCATCTCCTCCTAACTCCTTGCCTTCCATCTTAATCGTCAGGCATACTTCGCTGTCCCGGCTCCCTATGAATGCTTTGATTCATATTCTTCTAGCCACCCACACTGTTCCTGCAGCACATCACCTGAATATGGATGTTGAGAAGTGTCTGGACTCAGGTTTGGGGACTTCAAAGTCAGGCCAAAAGTGAAACATGCTTGAAGATGTCCGCACACAGAGTGTAGAGCAGAAATCCTTTCAAGCTTGTGTGATTCAGTGGTGATCTGACCTTATTCCTGACAGTCATTTCATCTGTAATGAGGAATTTTCCCACCACCGACCATGCCTGACATCTGTAATTAACTTGTAAATCTGTGGGGCTTTAGCCAAAGAGGATGTGACACTCCACTCTGTCAGGGTGAGTTTGTTAAAATTTGGAAACATTTTACACTCTTTTCTTGTTTAACTGTTTTTTTTTTTATAAATGCCAAAAGTTTGACTGACTTTTTTAATTGTATTTTTGTAAATTGCCAAAAAAAATAGATAGTTGTAATATTGTTTTCAGCAAAAACTTTTTTTCTGTAACTGTATTTTGTTGCGTCACGACCCAGAACTTTTAAATCTGCTCATTATAACAACTATTTTATATTCGTTGTGTCCTTGCCTGTTTTTATTAAAAATAATAATAAGTCAATGTAATGAGGCATTCCCATCACCTGGCGTCGCAGTTCAGAAAAGCCCATCAGCCAAGTGAGAGGAAATAGGAAGTTACGCACGGTAAGCCGGAAGTTACGATCAGTCATCCGGAAGTTATTCTGTTGCTGCTGTTTCAACGTGAGAAAGGTGAGTTGAAATCAATGAAACCAAACCCCAGAATTATAAAACTGGGAAATAAATAAACGCTCACTTTGTGTTTATGTCTTTTTTTAATGTAAATATTATTGTCAGCTCAGCTTGTTAGCATTTAAAACGTGGACCCAGTTCAATTAATTTTTCCCTGTAGCCGGTTGCCGTTGGTTATATTGAGTTGAACAGTGGCAACTTAACGTAACGTAAAATATTTTCAGATATTCTAACAGTAACTTTGTCAACATTGCAAATTGCAACATGGCATCGTAATAAAATGTATAACCTCTCAAGGTCGTCACAGCGCTGCTTACTGATATTCTATATTAAGTAACGAAGGGGCATGCGCCAAACAAAACTTCATAATACATTTCTGCATTAAAACGTTTCAGTCTGTCTTATAAAAATATAGAACATAATGAGCACCCTTTGATTTCGGCGTACCGCTGTGATTAAAACACTAAAGTGCTACCTGATCTACAAGTGACAATATTGATAGAACTAGGTTAGAAACCGCAAAACATTTTTAAAAAATACTTTTTTTCCTTGTTTAGCTTTGTGTTCAATTTCAAAACACTTTATATGCTGGTTCTTACGCTTGCTGGGGACATTTTAGTCGTGCTGTCATGACCCAAATCGGCCACAAGGGGGCACCAGAAGACATTTTAATCACGTTCTCATGTGTTTGTACTTCATTGTCTTTTTGAGTTTTGTGAGTTTGTTATCCTTAATATAGCACCTCCATTATTACTTTAACTTACGTCAGTAAAAGAAATAACCATATTTTTTCCTTGGAAAAAAATTCCAGGATTTCAAGTGCACAGCTGTCATGTGGCCTATAGTCTGGACTGCGGCGAGGACCTATGCCCCATACATTACCTTTCCTGTGGCTCTTGTGGTCGGAACTGTGGGCTATAACTTAGAGTGGTTCATCAGAGGGACCCCTAAATCCCGAGAGGAAGAGAAGGGAATCCTGGAGCTCAGGGAGGAAAGAAAGCTTCAAGAACAAGCAGGCATTGACAGTACAAAAGTTCTTAGCTTAAAAGAGAAAATGGAATTTGCCCCAAAAGCAGCACTGAACAGGAACCGACCAGAAAAGAGCTAAGTTCTGCAGGACCTATAGACTATAGTATTTGCACACTCTCAGCAGGAGGATGTTGCACTGGGAGATTAAAGAATGTGGAGAGCCAAGATCTTGTTTGTTTCCAATCCAAACCCACTCTCTTAATTTTGTCCATGACTGTGGTCATCTAATGTACATGCATTGAAAATAGGATGGATATTAAATCAAGAACGAGCCAAATGGAATTCTGATTTGTGCATATGCTGTGATTGTCCTTTTTCATGCCCTGATAAGTACCTGAAACAATTAAAGTATTCTGACTACAGACATTCGTCAAATTCCACTCGTCCAATATAAGGAATTTGCAATATTATCCTATGTCTAGTTTACTCACACAAATTCCTAGTTTCATGGCACAGGACTATCACATGTTCTTTTTCTTGGAAGTCTCTCATTTTTGTGAAAAAGTCCAACTATGACCATTAAGCTGGAGGATGAAAGACTAACCTCTGTTATCCTCTTTGTTGTATGTGACTAAATAATCCCGCAGCGTGGGAGGTCTTTGTGGTGTTTGAAGCTTTTTAGTCCTTCTGTCCGACACATCTACATAAAAGCATAATTTTTGAATGCCTGTATGTATTAGGGTAAACCAAAATTGTATTTATGTAACAGAAAATGTGAATAATAAATTATGTTTCTACTGAACATCAACAATTTTACTGACTTCAGTTGTAGTCCAAGGAAAATTAGCCCAGATTTTTTTTTCTTATGTAAAAGAAAGACAAATAAATTAACTTAATTGTTTTTGTTTTGTTTTTTTAGCGTGAATTTAGCGTGAATTCACATTGAGTCATTAATAAGTATCACTCATTATGAAAACATTGCTGCTGTCGTGAATGTTAAACAGCATCAAACACAAAGGAAGCAAATAATGACTCGCATAGTTCAGCTTCCAGGAAGCAATAAAGACAAAGCAATTTATACACAAACGCACCTTTTTGAAGATTTGACCTGCGATACACAAATGACAAGAGAAATTCTGGCAACTTTACTTGGTAACCACTGAAAGTGTGTAAGTCACAATAGAGCTTTTTAGAAAGAGCGACTCAGAAATGTGATAAAAATCCTCTCTGAGCTGAATAAGCACTTTAGGAGAAATATTTTCTTCCTACGGTAGAGGTAATTTTCTTCCCATTAAAATACAAAACACATCTGTGAATCATAATTGACAGAAGCCATGAATTAAACTGCTGTAGAGCATATTGTGTGTACTTGTAACTGCAGTGTGCCCTGACTACAAAAACATTCCTTTTTGATAAAAACATCAGTAGAACAACAAGCAGCTGAAGGTTTTTCTCCTTTTATGGACCACTTTCTCATCAGTCTACTGATCCATCAGTAATGTTACAGAGTATTTAACGCTTCCCTCAACGCTGGTCCTTCGTGTGTGAAGTCAACCCATCATGTCATCGTTATCTACAGTAGGAATATTGTTTTTTTTACCCGCAGTCATGGAATACCTCCACCGCGAAGGCCGCGGTAATTATTTCATTAGTGATTGTGCTCCGGTCCTGGAGCCTTTTCCTGTGTTAATAATAAACACAAAGGTCCATTTCTCCTGGAACTTTCCAGAGGGATGCTAATCTTTCCAATGGGCCAAGATGGGTTCTGCTACACTAGTGTGCCAACTAGTGAAATGAGTACCAATGTGAAACTCAGGATTTATATTGGCACCAGATGGGTAAATGCTGCTGGGCTGGATCTGTAGTCGTCAGCCTGTTGTTCCCTTTTAAACTCTGCTATCAGTTAAATGAAGCGCTCCACCCCGGTGACCCGGGTCAGTGCGTATGCTGCCAGTTACATCAGTTGTGGGGAAGTTTCCATTTGAAATTGGCTTTAAAATTAGGTGTATGAAAGGTGTGTGTGTGTATGTTTATATGGTCTTCTGGGAGAAATCATAGGACAGGTTTGGTATTTTAACAAAGGCTCAGGATCCTCTGACTGGACAGCATTGTGGGAACCAAACTCTGAGATTCTTGGGAAAGGAGTAGAGAGTGAAGGGGAGATCCATTGTTTTTGTCAGGTGATGGGGCTAATGGGTGAGAGTGATCCTTGCTGGTCTTTGTTGTTTTTCCTAAGGAGGTCCATCGAACATCCTGGAGGAAAGGCTGGAGACGCTGTTCTCTGTGCTGCAGGAACAATGGAGATGTCTGCCTGGTGGAAGGTCAACACTTCCACTTATTAAACACACCGCACACACACACACACACACAAGATCCAGGTCCAATACGCTGCTCAACAACGTATTTGCTCCTTAATAGTCATTTGAAAGTATATGTTTCTGATATTAATGCAGAGGTAATAAAAAAAGAGAAAGATTTTCTGTGAAAATCCTTAACGACTTTTTGATTACATCAGCACTTCTGTTGCCCTTTTCCCTGCATCCTTCACAGGCCTTTGATGAACAGCCATGACATTGTGCCTGTAATGATAAGGGGGCTGTGTCGGAGAAACAAAGCAACAATGACCACTGCTGCCCCATTGTCACTGTAACAATAACCAGCGACCAGTGCCTGGGGATAAATAATTTTAGAACAGGAAACAGTTTTTACCCACTTCCTGTCAAGATTTTAAGTTTAGGCTACATAAAAAATAATCTACTTAATTTGGCATTGTAGATACAGAAGGGATCATGTAGTGTACAGTTGGTACTGGAGAAAGAGACGAGGCACCAAGCAGTAAAAATATATGATTGATTTCCTAATTTATACTTCCTATTTTATCTTAATAAAGGGACAGTGCATAACTCTGATGGCCTTATTTTTCCTTCAACCTGCTATTTAGAGCCACAGATGTTTACAATGCTGTGATCTGTATTAATAAAAGAGTGCTCTCAGCGACACAAGGTCACCATGGCCGTCCCTTATTCTCAAGTGCATCGTTTGGTGAGTCCTTTCCTCTTATTTTTCCGCCAGAGCAGCTGGAAGGAAGTTTTAGCTCTAAAATATGTCTAATAAAAGTCCCTAAACATGTAAACATAGCTGTGTTTTTAGAGATCGGACAGCATACTTTGAAAACTATGAGCACGTACTATAAAGAATTGTTGTTTTTTTTCAAACTTTCAAAAACAATATTTTTTGTCAGATCAGGAGCTGCTGGACGACCCTTTAAAATGGTTTGCTCGTCACGACTAGTTGTGTGTGTGTGTGTTAGCGTGAGAGAGAAAAAGAAAGAGAAAGTTCATGCTCATGTTTTGAGGCTCTTTGCCTCCTTCCGCGGTCGTTCTTGTAAATAATTTCTGTTGGATGATGAACGACCGACTCCTCCGTCTGCATATCTCAGAGTGAAAGACTGTCCACTGTGTGTCATTAACGCATCAACAGGGTGAGGAAATGCATCAGCACTGACAACAATGTGAGGAAACACGGTCAGAATGGCATCAGGTCCCAGTGGTTGCGTGTACAACTGCAAAGAATTACCTGTAGCAAAGATTGTGATCTGCGGGGTAATGACTCCCACTCCTCTAACTAGCATGGCCTGTCCTAAAAACCACCTCCTTATTTAATTGCATTGAATTATCGGAACTAGTCTGACTTCATGGAAGACAGTTTTGACTTTAGGTGCTGGGGTGTAGGAGGGGGACGATGATGCAGAATTGAATGTTTGTTTTTGTTTTCCTTTCGGAGCAGTTCTGGGCATCACAGCAGTTAAATCATTTACAGTATAAGGAAATATGTTGGAGAAGCTCATTCTGTTGTTGGCTTGACATCAGATCTACTATAAGGTCAGAGTGTTCAATCTGTTCAGTGACCCCATGTCTTTTTGGGGGAAATAACAACATGACTCAAGTACAGTATGCAGGCCAAATTCCTAATCCCACCCATTGGACATCGAGCTAACAGTACGAGCCAAGGGCTGGTGAGCAGGAACTGGACTGGGCAGCTTCAGCTAGGTTTGTTTGGAGTAAATACAGGGAATACAGTGAGATTTTTTTTTTCCATTGTTGGATAATAAAGATTTAATAGACGTTTCCTTAGTTACAAGAATCTACCAAGTATTTTATGAAAATCTGTCTCCCTTACATTTACAATAAAGCATATTTCCTGCTATAGATAACTGCCTATTGTCATGGTGACATTTTTATTAAATTGCTGGAAACGAGTCCTCCTAGATGACATATGGCTACATTCACTGCGAGCCGGGACGAGCGCCTTTGTTGAAGTGCTGGATTCTATCAGTTGAAAACATTGTTAACAGAGAGCATTGACCAGGAGATAGCACACAGAGCACAGAGTGCCGTACCATCACACCTTGTGTGAACCTTAACTGCCATACAATTGATGCCTTTCCCCACTGCTGCTAGCACTATGGATTTGAAAACAGCCATTAAATCAAAGCCATTTTACCCTCAGGAGGTTTTTAGCTTTCAATACTCCATGAGCCTCGTCCCCGTCTTCACACCTCGGCCTTTCTGTTTTTTTTTTTTTTTCCTTTCAAACCACTTTCTCCTGGGTGATTTATAGCGTCTTTATTGTGACACTATTTGAATAGCAAAGAAATGGTGCAAAGAGGCTTTAGACAAAAGCTTTACCTGCAAGGAAATCTCAACCTTGGATTACAGAAAGCAAAAACAAAACCAGCAGCCGTATCCTGAAATCATCACCTTATGGCATCCTTTTATACTACATAGAGCCATGAAATGTAGATAACTTTATTTCAAAATAATAAATAAAACAGGATATATTTTTTTCAAAACATCATCAACATTAAATACAGTTTTCACAAGGTAGGTTTCACTCATTGATTTTGCCCATTGCTGTACCTCTATGGTCCATTTATTCTGAATTCACAAATGCATTTTTACTTCAGTCTCCACCTTCTACAAATGCGATGCTAGCTTTTACTCCATTATTCAGCACTTGTATGCATTCGACCTCTCGCTTCCTCCTTCCCCATAAATAAAACAGTACGGGAAGCAAAAATGATAAGTCATGTACAATCCCAGAATTCCCATGGTTTGCCTCCTACTCCCCTTCTCCCGTCGCCTTCCTCGTCCTCGTCCCCAGCTCTGGTGACCAAAGCACACTGGGTGAAAGGGGAAAAGTGCATCAAATGTGCATGTGCATACATGCGTGACTGCATCCACGAAGCCTTTATCCTCTTGGGAGCAGAGCAGAGACTACAGACCAGTACATTCCAGAGCCATGGGGAGAATGGGGGGGGGGCTTCAAACAGTCTGATGGGTTACAGTGCAAATATCAGAGAAATACGCTTGAATCTGGTTGAATTCTCTCTCTAACAAGCAAACACAGACCCCCACGGCAGTGTTTTTCCACTGACACATTAAGCTCGGAAAGCCGTTAAATGCAACATGAAGGCGTCTTATGACTGTAATCTCCTCTCATGGTGGAGTCTCATTTTCTTTGACTCGGCGAGGGTTTTTGAATAGGCCCATTTATCTGCTAAATTTTTCTCTAGATGTCTACCTGCCTGTGAGGCATGGGGTTCACAGTGCAATAGCTGTACTTCATTTTCTCTTCTATTTGTGCTCTCCCTCTGCACTCCTGACACAAAATTGTCATGTGCAGAAAAATAATTCCATGATAACAATAAAAAAAAAAGTCTCACAGAGAACTGTCCAAAGAAGGGGATCAGACGTAATGCTTTTGCTTCGACTGTCCCTTGTAGGCACCTTTGGTGTTTTTGTAAGGATGATGTGCTTGTTTCTTACAGTGTGTTCTTGGGTGGTGTGCTGTCCCAGCCGCCTCCATGCAGCGCAAGTAACTAGGAAGAACGTCACTCCCAGCTTCCCAGTTCACCTCTATTTGCAGATCTCCGTAGCTCTCACAGGGGTTGGAGTAACGACTCGTGGACTCGTGCTGCAGTTGGATATTATTGTGGGCCAGAGCTTCTGGAGTCTGTCCTCCAGCCTGTACCTGCTCAGAGGGAGGTAGGTAGGCTTGATGACCGGAACGGTAGACCTTCTCAAGTTTGTGCGAGATGGCAAGCTGGATGAGGTGGAGAAGCTCGGCGAAGTTGAGGATCAGGGATACGGCTGCCATCGCTTGAGTGTAGAAGGTAAAGATGGTCTTCTCTGTGGGTCTCGAGACAAAGCAATCCACGGTATGAGGACAGGGGGACCTGGTGCACTCAAACTTCGGTGCTATGAAGAAGCCATCATAGAGGATCCAGAGGCCCACGATGGAGCCAGCTTCAAAGACAATTTTCACCAAGATGCAGAATGCGTAGGCACACAGCAACCTGCCCTTTAGTTTGGGAGCGTGATGAGGAGCCTCAACAGCTTTTCTGCATTTTTTTCTGTCCTCCCTTTTCTCCTGCTCCTGTGCATTGTTTCCAGTAACATTCTTATCATTCACAACTGTGACATTTTGTGAACTGCTCTCACTACCTTCTTCCACCTTCTCGTCCTCCTTCGCCTTCTCCCTCCTAGCCCTTATCGCCACATATCCAAAGTAGAAGATGGTGGGTGTGGACACAAAGATGACTTGGAGGACGAAGTAACGAAAGTGAGAGATAGGGAAGGCTTTGTCATAGCAGACAGAGGTGCAGCCGGGCTGTTTGGTGTTGCAGACGAAGTCCGCTTGCTCATCATCCCAGGCGGATTCGGCAGCGGTTCCTAGGACCAAAATGCGAAACAGGAAGAGTACAGTGAGCCAGATGCGGCCAATGCCTGTTGAATACTCTTGGCCCTCCTCCAGCAGGTGCTCTAGGAAGGACCAATCAGCTCTGGACATCCTCTGCTCCTAGAAATAAGAAGAAATAATTAGCAGAATAAGAATCAGCTCTTTACTCCCTGGGGAGTAGAGGGCAGACATTCTTTGCAGCACTTGGAAGAATTGTTGATACTTGCTCGATGCACCACTGTCGGGCCTGGATTTGTCCTAAACGTCTAAAACCATTTACTAAATGGATGCTGCTGAAAGATGGTCATATTGTGACCAACATTGAATGGACTACAACAAATTATTTAGTTGAATATGTCCAAAAAAACCAAAGAAATACTTGATGTTTTTCTCCGCCACGCAGCTGACATTTCTTTGATTATTTCTCCAGGCGACAAACGGACCAGACCTCTACTACCGACTCAATATAATGACGTCTTTGATACTGAAGAACACGTGGGTCTGACTGTAACAGTAGTTCTTCCATAAACTCACACTCTTGTTAAAGAAAGGCTCCAAGTTCGTCACAAAGACGTAATTAAAAACCCAACATCCTCCTCTACTAATAAAATGAACTGAAACAAAACCACATGGTATTAAAAGTATTTCATTTGGACAGAGACACTGTACCGTCATGCTCTTTAACATGTAAGGAACAAACAACGTCATGGAACATAGTGACTTGAAGAGTAAGCTAAAGCTAAATTGAACTAAGTTAGTGTTTGTTTTTTTATAAAACAGATCAAGTGATATGCTGCGGTGTTTACTGATGATAAATGACACAGTCAGTGGTTTATCGAAATGCCTTCTCTGACAGAGCATCCCTTATTCAGAGTTCAGGCTGAGTGACATTACGGGTTTTTGTTTTTTCATTGACAATTCCCCCCTTCCCCTCCCGCCCATCATGAGAAAATAAAATCCTTGATGGAACTGATGGAAAATACCGACACTGCTGACAGGAAAGGTTTAGACAATAGTCTGGTAGGGATTTGAGAAACGTGACAGGAGGTCATACATTGTTCAAAATAGGAATGTTAGGAATGAAAAGAGAAACTTTGAAAAAACAAATGTAAAAAAGCTATTCCTGTTTTTTCTGAGAGATTTTTTTTAACCTCCCCTTAGCGCAATGGTTCTAAAGTTCTGTTAAAAAAGCCGATGACAAGTGGTCAGACTTTTCATTGTACTTCTTAGTAGTTACTACTTATAAAACTTAGATAATTTTCCTACTCATAATATTAATAATATTTATATGAATTAAAATCAATCAGACAGAATATGTTTAAAAAACAATTTCTTCTAAGTTAATAGAACTAGAAAGAACCGTTAAAAATACTTAAAAACTTTTTTGGAATGTTTAGAGTTCAATAGAGTTTATATATGCTTTACATGTACACATTTATATGTAAAGTACAAACAAAAAACTGCAGTACAATCACAATTAATGACATTTCAAGAAAAACTACTGTTACTTTTTTCTTGTTATCAGCTCTTCTAACGGTCTTACCTTTCTCTCTTTAGTATCGGGCTGTGACTCCTCACTGTTTGACCAGGCTCAGCTCCTCCTCGCTTTCTCCCTCTCTGAGACGCGTCTTTAAAAAGAATCGCTGTTATCGGAAAAAACGGGGCGAACTTTCCCATGGCTGCTCCCGTGGCCCTCCTCCCTCAGGAAGCGGGGCCAGGAAATGGGATGGGATGAACTCAAAAGACGTGCTGCTCAAGTGTGCGCACAGACATTCAAAGATAAGCAGTTTACATTGACCGCGTGACCTTGCGTCATTTAAAGGTCACAGAGAAGCGCTGGGTTTTAAAAAGACAAAAAAGAAAAAGATTTGCCGGGCTGCAGAGAGAACGTGTCGTTTTTTTTGTTTGTTTGTTTGTTTTGTTTTTGTGGCATTTACTGACTAGTATTTATGGATTTTCTGTCATTAACTACGGTTAAGTCTCTTATTTTTTAAATGTAGTACGTTTCTTGTTTTTCTCTACTTACATTTCTAAGACTTTACTATCAGATGATAATTACAGAGTGTGCAATTTTCCTTCATGCCACTCAACGGCGCCACTCGCCTTATTTCCAGTGAGCACTAACAGATTAGCTGCCGAATATAGCAGCTCTTTTTAAAATAAGTGTTGCATGAAAATATTTTTTTTATTAACATTTATATTGCCATGGCAACAGCTTCACAAGCTGTGGTCAGCAGCAGCTTTGCTGCCATCAGTCAACTGTAAATAAATAAATACATAAAATAAATTAAACTACAATGATGAAAAACAACAGTAATATTATTAATATTGGTAATACTAACATTTACAAGATGAATAAAACAATTTGATACATGCAATATTCACTCGCATTATGGTCTCAGAGTGATGAACTGTGGAGGTATTCTCATAGTTGGCGCTAAGTGGAGCTGTGCAGGATGGTTGAAGGACGTTGAAGGAGCACGCTGATTAATTCAGGTGTGTCGTACAGCCATGTTTTTGTTGTTGTAGTTGTTTTGGGGTTCTTCTTTAGCGCAGACCCGCTGCAGTTTGTAAGTTATTGGTTAAAAATTGTGTGCGTTTGTTTGCAAATTATGAAACGGAATGCCATATCTAAACTTACCCTTTGTCTGCAGTATTGTCGTGCGCACTTTCATGGACGGACCAGGCTGTGCCGTCAGGCCGAGGCCACGAGTGTGTAGCAAAGCGAGGGTGCGTCAACGCCATCTAAAGTTTGTTGCAAGTAAGTGGTCGTTAAGTGTCTGCTTGGTCGTATTTGTTGTCATACAATTGCATTGTCATGCAATTCATGTCGTCGGTCTATTATATGAATTTTAAAATTGCGTAAAACTGCATGTTTTTTTTTTCATATTTTTCAAAACCCAGGCTATTTTTACTTAATGTAAAAGTCCATCAGTCACCATGACAGCAATGTTGTATAAAGTATTTGTAGTCTGTGTTTGTTAGCTCAACTAATGTTTAAAAAGCTCAGCCTAAGATGCTTAACTTAGACTAAGACTGTTTTACGTTTTTAAATATCCTCATAATATCATTACAGCTCATATGCAACATGAATTTATGTGTTTTTTAACCCAGTTATAAAAGTTATAAAACCGGTATTATGTAGAGCCATAAATAAGCAAAACATTGTATGCTACTGCCTGTAAAACATCAAGTACTGTAGTACTGTAACCTTGGTCATGTCTGAGGCATACACAGGCAATGAACAGGTTCATGTTGCATTGTATTGTAATCTGTTGAATAACTTGGATTTTTGTCAAATTTCTATTCAAACTATGATCTGTTTACATTTACAGTTTAAAGAAATGTGATACAGTTGTCAAGAGTAAACAGTGACTCTATTGGCAGAGGAACCCTGCTGGAAGTGTAGCCTTCATATCCTAAATCACGTTTGGCACATTTTGGGCTGCACAGTGCTTCAGGTGTTATTCCCTGGGTTTTCTCATGTCACCAAGAAATGAAAAGTGTGATTGATTATAAATGAACATTTCATTTATATACCCTTAAGGCAAGATCACACACTTTAGAGAGAGAGAGAAAAAAAACCCACAGACCATATACCGTTGAGTTTATTATCATATGGTTATATCTGTCTCCACTGACCCAGCTGCGAACGGCCGACCTTGTAATCACCTACTGACACAAACATCATTCAAATTTAAGTGTTTGCTGAGAAGTCATTTTACCACAGTCGCTCCAAATCAGTGTAGTACCATTGTATGTGTCAATATGTAGATTATAAGAAGACTTAGGAGGCAGGGTCCGTCTCCACGCCGCAGCCCAGAGTGGAGCTTTATATAAAGCCCGGTGAATTGACAGTGAATCATCCTGACGGATCAGCCGCTTGCTCTTTTCTTTGGTCATTCATTCCTAGATGAATAGCGAGGCGAGTAGTGAGGGAAGCCGGCAGAGAGTAATGGAACTGTTTCCATTCATGGGATGTGATATGCCTCTCTGTGTTCGGTGTGCTCCCCCCAGTTATCAATGAAACTAATTGTCGAGCCTCCAGTTCAATCAGTTCCTCACCACAGGACCCGTTTTATCATGCATGGCTGTACTTTATTGCAAAATTAGTTGTGTCAGTGTGTGTATGTGTCTGTGTGTGTACTGCAGTTGACTGTTAATGGAATTTATGAAGGTGGAGCAGGAACGTCCATTTAAAAATAAGCAGAAAATTGGAAAAACTCACACAGGCTGGTGTATCATCTATGGCGGTGTTTCCCAAACTTTTTTTCCCAGGGACCCATATTTCAAAAGTCAATAGACATAATTCATGAACTCCTGGGAAACACGATATAAGATGACCCCCCCCAAAAAAACTCTTGCGACCCAGCTGAGGGTTGCGACCCAGTCTTTTGGAAACAATGATCTAGGGTTTATATGGAAACAAATATAAGAATGATGTATAAAATAGGGTCAACTGTGTTCTCTTAGCCATTATAAATGGTATCCCACCAAATAAAAGATTGCATTTCTCTTATCTTTCCCTTTATCACGGCTGTTCTCAGCGAATGAGACAACATCGCCTCAGGCCTTCATCCTGACCAGCCGATGTCTGACCGCTCAATCCCCTGCATCAATACGGACTTTAAAATCTTAGCACCTATGGAATTGATTTCCGTTTAATATTATCCTGGCATTTGTTGTCCCCAGAGTGTGAATCACACTGACTTTGGGGATCCCCTGACTTTTACTTAAGCCCTTTCACGAGGTTGACATTTGTGGGTTTTAATTAGGCATACAGAAAACGTTTGGCTGAACTGCTGTGACATTTGGTGCAGATGTTCACTCTGATCCCCCTGACTTTTTCTTTTGCTCCCGCACCAATTTAAATTTTACACATACAAACTCAAGGATGGCCACGTCCGCTCCGTACGTTGCCCCAAAACTTTGTTGTTGCAGAATTTAACGATCACTTGAGGGTTAGAACTAATGATGTTCTCCTGCTACCAGTAGGGTACTACCTACAAAAATGACAACAGCAACAAAAATATCAATATCAATAATAATTAGTGATCTGCATTATCATGCTAATACCAGTATTCTAGTAAGTGAAATGTAAAGAAAATGAACAGTACCTGCAAACCTTTGCTAATGCTTATGGAGCTCCTGCTTTAGAGCAAGAATGTCACTGATTGGAGCCTGGCTGTGTTTTGGTCTGAGGGTCTTCCTGTATGGTGTTTGTATATAATATACACTTACTGTACTAAAGAGATAACTGTGTTGTTTTAATACCGCGGTTGTTTTCAACGACAGCACACTTTTAGAAAAGTCCCATAGTGCACCACCGAACAAAAATGCCACAAAACTCTGTGTAATGTAATATAATGGTCTTCTATTTTCAATTAACTCACAGTGTCCTGGAACCTGCTAATCTATGTACTCTCAGGGATTTAAGAAAGAA